AAATGACAATTATTAGATTTAATATTATTAATAAACTTTTTAATTTATTTTAAAAAATGTGATATATCAGAAGTGATGATACGGCCTATATATTAGTATGAAAAAATATTAGTACTAATAACTATTATTCACTAATACTAAGTTAACTCAAATTATATCAGTCAGGGAAGATGTCACATGTTCATATATGTGAGTGTTCGATCATAGTTAAAATGTAGATCATATTTCAGAAATTTACTATGAAATTTTTAGAAAAATTTTAAGTAAACCACATGACTTTCGATGACTTTCGAGAAATACAAAATGTTGTTCTAACAAACATTATTTCACGAGTTTGTCTCTATTAATAACAAAAATTTGAAATGAAACTTATATGTAAATAGAAAAGGATCTCGGGCTCAAAAATTGGTAACCTTTTGAAATCCTAGCTCTAACAAAGATATAAAGAATCTTTAAAACACAGTAACTAGCCAGGCTTTACGCAGAAGTTTCAGAATTAGACTACCGTTTTGTTATGATCACGCTTCTCCAAACCACTTTCATCATGATTTTGCTTAATATTATAAGTAAAATCTTTAAAATCTTACAAGTAATGACGATCAAAGCTAGTCTAATATTGCTATGTTCGTTTTCTTTTTTTTTGTTTGAAACTAATATTTACTTCTTGAGTTTCGTCAATTTGCATTAGGCATCAGAAATTAAGCGTGGTAGGGACTGATTAAAATTAAATAGTTCAGTTTCTTTTTCTTGTACATTTTTTTCTTTTTTAATTAAAACTAGTTTTATTTTATTTTATTTTTTTTTGAAGCTCTTTGCCAGCCTGAAAAGCCTCTGGATCGTTCTATATATTATTATTTTATTTTTATTAAATCTAATTTTTTCTTTTTGTAGATTTAGCTTTAACTTGAAGTTAGCATTGGAAAAGTGGCTGGGAACTTCGAACTGGTTTAATTATAAATACCAGTTTCTTTTTTTTCTGTTACACTATTATTATTATTTTTTTTAGTTGAAACTAATTCTTTTTTTGTAGGTTGGATTTCGCACTGGGCAATGAATCAGGATACGGCTAGAATTTGAAACTGATCTAATATAAGTACTAGTTTTATTTTTCCCTTGTATATGTTGTTTTTCTTTCTTTTGGTCGAACTAACTTTCTTTTTATTTGTAGTTTTGGTTTCAACGTGAGATTAGCACTGGGTAATGGAATTGGACACGATTGTGTTTTGAAACTTGTCTAATTATAAGTATTGGTTTTTTTTTTTTTTTTTTTTAGTCGAAACTAACTTCTTTTTTGTGAGTTAGGATTTATATGAGATTGGCACCGGGAATTGGGAATTGGAACTGGCTTAATTACAGGTATTAGGTTCTTTTTTTTTCTTGCATTGTATTGTTTTTCTTTTGGTTAAACACTATTTTTTTCTTTTTTAATTAAATTTGGATTTCGTGTAATTGAAAAAGCAATAATCAGCGAGTTTGATATTATTTGTGGGAATGGCTCAAGGGTTGAGGAAGGCAAACTTGCATTGGGCATATTTAACACTGTTCGATGAGAATTTGTCAAAAAAGGTGAAAACGGTGTATTATTTAATTAGTGTCATTAAATTCATATAAATTAGCTATGTAATATTTATTTCAATTATACATGAATAAAAAAAAATAATCAATTCTAATGATAATTTGATTTTATTGATTTTTTTTTCCTTTTTTTTTTGTAATAAATAAAAAAATAAAAAATATTGTTTGAATCAAAATATTACAATATAGTTATGAATTCTATTGTGATTTTTTTTAAATTCATATGATATGTTACAGTTCTGATAGCCGTGAATGTATAATAATAAAGTCTCAATTCGAAAAGTGCATAAAATCCAATCAGTTATCTGTTATATGTATAAAATTTGTGTTTTAAGAAAAGTAATCGTTTGCAAAGAACAATTAAATTTGTACCAAACCCGTTTTTTTGATTGTTCATGTCTTGTTTGTCAGAACACAATTCATCTCTTGTGATAAATATTGTCATAATATGGTATAACTTCGACAATTGAGTCTGTTCATTGCAGAATCGAGTTTCGAGTTTGTAAAACCACCATAAAATATTATTTACTCCTCATTCAAAATGTCTTATTATCGTGATTTGCAAAATGATGTATCTTTGATTAAATTTTGCAGATCGCAGCTCGCATGTACAATCACCCAATTGTTGCCTGATTGATTATTTTATTTGTATTAAATTTTTTTAATTAAAACAATCGCTTTAAAATCACATAATCGAATAACAATCAAGTGATTATATATGCAAGCTGTGATCTGCATAATTTGATCAGAAATACATTATATCGCAAATAGTGATAAAATACTTCTAATTAAAATATTTTTTTTTTCTAAAATATACCTAAAGTGAATTATATAAATTTATTAGTTTTTAGTTGAATTGATTATCTATAAATAACATGAATAATTTCCATCTGCTATTACCTGTCACTGTTACTAACAAATTACCAAAATATACTTGCGAAAAAATACTTCTCTTTATAAAAAATTAATACTTCTCTTTAAAAATTTTTTTTTTTTTTTTTTTTTTTTTTTACAAAACCTTGTTTCATTATCGAAAATAGAGGATTACTATGATTATTCTACGGATGAGGATTTTGAAGAAAGTTTCAATACTGACCAAGATGAACCATTATTCATTCACAATTATCTGGCTGCTATGAAGGCAAGACATTGGTTAGAAGAACAAGATTCTTTAGAAATACCGGAATATGATGATGATAGTGAAGATTCATCATCTGAAGATGAGCATATGGATCACAAATTTTTAAGTGTAGAAGAAAATAAACTATCATTTTGTGTTGTTATCGATAATTTAAAAGGAGAAATTAAACGCTGTAATTCAACATATAATCTAAGATCAGTATCCCAATTAGTCGGAACTTGGGAAATAGAAATAACACAGGAAGAAAATTCTAATATAGCTACCTTAGGCGTTTGTTTTAGTCATTATGCTTTTGATCAAAATAAACTTCATTCATCTCATGCCAAACAAATTAGAGACGTCAGTCAGAGTGTAGTTAAAATAAAAAAATGTTTATTCTGTAATAAATATAAAAATTTCTTTAGCAGAGGTGACGATTGTGGAAAACATAATTGGAATATATGCGGAAGAAATATTCAAGTACCATATGCTGGTTTAAAATCATGTTCTGCTTTTAAAGAAATTACAAATATCTCTTCAAAAATTACTAATGGCTATCGAGTTCGATATATCTGTACAAAGTGCTTTGAGAGCAATGGTGGACATGTTCATAAACGTGAAGGAAAAAAGTCTCGAACTTGTGTTAATGACGAATTGCACAAAGATGATACTAACCAAGCTCTAAAATTATTCTCACAGTAGCTTTCAAATCTTTCATATTCTGAAAATAAAAATCAAAAAGAAGTAGTAGTGTTGCATATGATGAAATTATTAGAAAATCAAAACTTGAATGTATCATCATCTACAAATACAATAAATTGTTTACCTAGTCTGCTGCTTATAAAAATTGCTATAAGAATTAATACATTAGATTATTATTTACCTACAGATAAAAAATATGTAAATGCAGATGAATACAGACAGCATGGAGAAGCATTAGGAAATTTTATATATAACTCACGTAAAGATATTGAGCAATATCGTAAAAGTTTAGAAAATCCAAATTCGTTAGATAAATATTATAACAGCTTTCCTTTAGCACTTACTAATTTTTTTGATAGATTAGTTGAATCTATTGAAAAACATAAATATATAGTTAGAGAAAGAAAACAAAAACATCATAAACAGAAAGAATTAAAATTTAATAGAGATCCAATAAAAAAAATAATAGCATTTTTTGCATCAATAATTTTAACAATCGCCTTTCGTTCATGGAAAATATAGCTCACTTTTACTATAGCTTCCTTATGCAAAAAACAAAATTAATTTCTTCTCTGCAAGCAATACTTCATTCGGTATATATAATGTCCCATACATGGAAACACGAAACAGTATTAGAAAAAGAGCGTGTTAGTAAATACAATCTATTGACAAAATTAATAAAAGGACCAAATATTTGGAATATTGCGGTAATTGATAATATTGACTTCAAGGATATTGTTTTTCAATACGGCAATATTTATGATGTCATACAACGATCTGCGCATGCTACTCTAAGACTGGTATTTCAGTTTGAGCTTCCATTTAATTTGTCGAATCTTGCTCAAGAAAATCAAGAACCGAAGCCTCAAAAAAATTTATTTGGTAAATCAGAATTTACAACTAAATAGGAAGTTAAATTTGACCAAATAATAAAACAATTATTAGATAAAAATGAAAGAAACTTCGGAATTAAAGAGATTGATACAGAAATATTTGCTAATATCGAGTTAGGTTGTCGAGTAAACCCACCAAATCTTGTTATACTAGAACCTGGGCCAGCATCTAACAGTAACGAGGCTGTATTCGAGTCAATTGGCATGTTTTTAAAAGATCTTGGTCAAAATATCATTGATTTAGCATGTGATACAGCTATTTTTGGAAGAACTAAATCGTATAAAAATAAAAATTTAACTTGCTGATTTATTCTTGGGCAGTAGCACACGTCGAAAGCTATGTGTAGTGCTTTAATTGCTGCATTTAGTGGATATGGTTTATATAGTATGGCAGCAAAACTCAGTGTCAAATTTCTTGATAAGCTAGAGCAAAATGTAGATTATCGTTCAACTTGCAATGTATTAGAATTAATACATGCTGCTGTAGGTATAGTGATTCATCTTCATCTGAAAAAAAATAATATAATACAAGACGAGATAAATAATACAGTATTAGAGAATACTATAATAAATGGAAATAATAATACCCTAAAAGTTTGGTACTTATATTACCGTTTAGCTGGGTACTGGAAAGCTCATCGCGCGGGAATTCGTTCAGGAAATATAGACATGCAATTAAAAAATTTGGCAGCATTTGCACCTTTATTTCCTGCTACTGGAAAAAACAATTATGCAATGTCAGTAACATTTTTTTTTGAATCAATATCACGCCACCCACAGCAATATGAATTGCTTAAACATGTTGCTTCAGTAAATATTACCAGGGAGAATCACTATCTAGCTTTTGATGAAGCCCTGAAACAATATGGTGTTAAGTTCATCAAACAAAATTTAACTTCTGGCTTATCAGATCCAGTGCTTTTAAAACAACGAATTGCAGCAATTCAGGATGAACATGAAAGGATGCTAATGTTATATAGTGAATTTGTAAGTGATGATGTAATAATTCCAAAAGATCGAGCAGTTAAACAGTATACAGAAGTTTTATGGAAACTTGTTGATGAACTTATTTGCGCATTTGATTTCACAAACCCAAGACAACATAATCTCTTCAAACACGTACAAGAAATGAACCATGATGGTTATACACGAATGTTCACTTTTTATGAAATTGGGCTTAATTGATTAGATAAACTTCTACAAGAAGAAGTATATAAAACTCAAAAAGCAACTAAAAATAGACAAGCTAAAAATCTCGTTAGCACCTCAGCCAAAGAATATGAATTGGCAGTAAAAAATGACACAACTTTTTAAAAAGAATTCAGTAACGAAACTAAAAATTCATACTTTTTTTTTATTTTGAATTTTTTAAAGAAATAAAGCATATTAACTAAAGTAATAACTAATGATCGTATATTATAAAAATTGAAAACTAACTTTTGCTAATGTGCAGAAGTTATATATTTAGAGATTATGTATAAATTCTACTAGTAAATTTTAAAAATTTTGACATGTTATTCGAATGCCACTCTTAAAAAACCTAGCCCTTTTTTATACTGAACTGTTATAAAATTTTTATAATTTTGAGCTCGTCATATCCAGAGTTGACTGTAGCTTGTAGTTCGAAGTTGAACCATGGCAATAATAGATCAAAGGTCAATTCAGTCAGAATAGAGAAGAAAAACAATTAGTAAAAAATAATAAGAATCGGAAAACAAAAAACCATATATCTAAACAGTAATCTAACCCCTATCATAGACTAGTGAAATCCTCAATGTCTTACCTAAAGTTAAGGTTCAAAAAAAAAATGCAACCTGTAAAAAATAGTCTAAAAATTAATAAAATATAAACAAAATTCAAGATAAAAGGAATTTAAAAGAATTCTAAAAGGTAAAATGAAACCACTTATCGGAATTTGAATATCCAAGCCTGAGAGTTCTCAAAAGCTGAAGTGGAATGGTCGAAGACTTAGCTAATAGTTACAATAATAGAATAAAACCAACTCACCACCGAAAATAGTCCTAGCCTAGCATAAAAAAAAAGAACATAAGATCCCTAGAATCAAGGCTACAAGGAATAAAATAAATAAAAGAAGAGTTATAAAGCAAGTTAAGACAACACAGATCAATGAAATGAAGGAGGCAAGAGATCTAGAGAAATATGAAAACGTCTGAAAAGAGATCCAAATAAAAAAAAGAAGACTTAGTAAAGTTGCTACGATCTATATACTTATATAATAAAATTGTTGATTCACTATAATTCAAAAATTTATTAATGAAACCTACTTTATATTTATAAGCAACCTTGTAGCTCGTAGTTCGTATTAGCTTGTGATTAAAAAAGATTCTGTATAAGTTAGCTTCGTGAAAAGGATCTTGGCGATAAAGCTAAAATCTATACTTTTCTTTGCCTTCTAATATTTTTTTTTTTTAAAAAAAAAAAATCAAACAAAAGACTATAAACAAATATAATAAAACTCGCAGATTAAATTTTACTAACGTGTAAAGACCGAATATTTAGAGGGTTTTGTAAGTTTTCTTAGCACGAACTAAAAGTATGTATCAATTTTTTATGTAACGTTACTATGTAAATCAGTCGGTGTGACATCTTCCCTGACTATTATACCGTCAGGCAAATCTGCAGTAATCCGACATAGCTCAAAGATAATTAAATAATATTAATTAATAGCTAATACTGTAATAATAATTTTTTATATTAATCTTTAATGATTAATACGTATAAAAAATTATTATTACAGTATTAGCTATTAATTAATATTATTTAAGCATGTCAGATTACTGCAGATTTGCCTGACAGTGTAAAGAATATGTACATATACATAGTACAGCTGTATATATATCTAGTGCACAAAATTTTCTGATGGTGGTATTTATTTTAACCAGAACTTGGAAATCTCATCTGGATGTAGCAGTTTTTTAATAATTACTGTATATTGATGCGTATACATGATACGTACTACGTATCAAATTCACATGTTAAGCAGGATATATCTTAATATCATAACAATGTCAATGTGCAAATATCATAGAGAATAAACATATGTATATGCGGATAAATACTAAAGCGTGCACATTTTGAGATGAGAATTAGCGTTCAAGAACAATAGAAATGGTAGTAGACTTTACCTGTAATATATATATGTTCGTATTTATATCTGTTTATTAATTAATTGAAAAAATATCTGTTTCTTATCTCGTACGTTATCTTTAATAAACAACTTTATTCTGGTATTACTACCACTACGTAAAATCAAGTTTTATTAATTATCTGATTCATATTGTTTGCATATGATCATAACAATATCAGATATAGACAATTATAACGAACTGTAGCATAATCATCATTAATATAATTTTTATATATTCACTACGTATTGTAATATTTATTAAGTTTAAATATATATATACATTTTTATGATATCCATTTTCAGAAATTTCCGACTGATGAAAAGTCAAGGCAGAAATTGTGATGACGAAATAGAAATCTCTGATATTTTACAATCGATTTGTGCTATAATATCAGAGAAAAGGTTTACTTACTAAAAAAAAACTCAGCATGTGATTTATGTAGCTTATAATGATTTAGTAAAATAAATTTAATGTAACGATTACTTGGCTTTTTTTAGTAGGAAGTCGATTTGCTAACATAATTATATATGGTAGATTTCTATTAGCTGATATATAAAAAAAAAAAAAAATTCAAAATCTTATCTTGTTGACCTGCTCGAGATATGAAAACCGATTTTATAAATTTGTATAGCCTTATATATTAGAGATTTTCTTTTTTAAATTTTTCCAAGATATTTTTTATGTAAGTATTTTTTCTAAGTGACTATTTCAGAGATTTTTTTTTCTGCTTTGAATTATTACTGAGAATATTAATAGCTGCTACTTTTGCTTCTATATTTCTCTTGTTTTATATCTTTTTTTTTTTTTAAGTCTATATACTTTTGTATAAAAATATTTCTTCTTGTATTTCTAGGCTTATTATTTTCTTTTCTTCTTTATTACTACAATAGACTTTATTGCTACTTTCTATATTAATTATGCTATTCTTTATTTTAATATCTTCTATTTTTTTAAGTATTTCATTACTAGATTTTTTTGGTTATATAATTTTTTTTTTTTTTTTTTTTGTTATTAAGGCGGCTTACATTGCCGAAGGAATTTTATTAAAATTGCATACAGGATATCTATTGATAGTCCCTACTGTTTGTAATTATATGAAGAGTGTACAACAGAATTCGTATTATTTCACTGACACTCAACTCACAGATATACCACTTCGCAGACACTGATTTCACAGACAAGGTTACTTTACTGACACACAGTCCGCAGACAATTATTTCATAGACATGTTTATTTTACAGACAAGCTCATTTAACCAACAGAAAATTTACCAAAAACCTTTTACTGACAAGATCTGTTCATAGACAAGCTTATTTTACTAACAATATGATTCACTGATAATACGATTCACTGACAATATAATTCACTGATAATACGATTCACCGACAATATAATTCACTGATAATATGATTTACCAACAGTACATTTTACTAATAATACGATTCACCGACAAATTTGCCTAATAGATAGGCTATCATCATGCAAGAAAAGTGCAAGTTGAATTAAAGATTAGTTTGAGCAAAGAACCAAATTATC